GCCTTTCGATTAGTAAGGTCATTATCGTAACGAGGTTAGCGATCTATTAAAGATTAAGGGCTGCTAGTATAAGATTAACGAACTTAGCCTCTATTATGCTAAGAGCCACGAACGGCTATTTCTTAGACTTCTAAATAACTAGTCCTCCCGCGAGAAACACTATATAGCCTCCTATTAAGGTCCTGCTAATTATATCTCCGTAAGCAGTATCTACTACTACGTATAATCCTCGCGATAGTGTGTTTTCAACTCCTTTACTACTATAAATAATACTATATCCTGATATACCTTTAATATATCGCTACAGGTGTTTTAACGCCGCTTAATATACTTCTATTAGACCTGAACTTACTTTATATAGCTTAGAAACTACGAAGGTGATATCGGCGCGCGTTCCGTAAGTAAGATAGTTTAGACTGCCTGTTTATTAAAGATACTCCTATCTGGTTTACTTATCGTATACCTCTGGATCCGGTAAGATACTGGATTTAAAGCTATTAGGCAGTGGCGTCAGGACTGCGTTATAGTCTTATATACTAAACCGTTCTAGGATCTTATTAGCGTACTATTACTGGTCGATTATAATTATCTTTACGGATCTGTTTTTTATGATTCTAAAGTTAAGGAACTGCTTAACTTTACCTAGATCCTTAAGGGCGTATACTACCCATAGAGCTTCGCGGACTTTTATAATAGATTCCTTATTCAGAGCTGCCACGTAGACGTTATTAACGTATATTAGGATAATAACCTTAATGGTTCTATTAATTAGTATATATCTATTACTATTAAGAGGTTCGAAGTCGAGGCTCTCTATATATCTAGCGATATAACGAAACCACTATAATAAAGCTTCTTTCATACTGTAAAGGCCTTCTTTAAGAGACAGACCTTTCCTAGGAACGTGGGCAAACCTATTAGTTAACTGATAAAGACTTACACGTCAGGCGGTGTATCTGCTACTATAAAGGCTATATTAAAGTCGAAGCTTTTACACTTAAGGTCTTCTATTATAATAATTATAAGGAACGTTCTGAGTAAGGCTATCTATACTATAGCTGCGTAAAGATCTTAAGCTAATTAGTCGCTAGCTTATTAGTTACCGTAGACTACCTAGCGAGCCCTATGCCTAATAAGATTACCCTATTCGTTATACGTATCGTTAAATACCTATTTACCTAGGAGGACTCTAACGCCCTAGGGTCTATTAACAAGCTCCTATACTTAGCGTTCGTTTAGAGCCTTAAGCTATTATTCTATAGCGGGTTTATAGGTTATCGTAAAGTCTAAACGTTTATAGGCCTCGTGGTAGGTCTTCGGCGTTTGGTTATGGTTCTAAGCTATTAGTTAAACGACTTTATCTATAGTGGGCATATTAAAGCAGGTAATTCGGTCTTAATTTAGAGAGTCTAGCAATATTAGCTATATAACTTTATTAACCGTTAATTCTGGGGTTATAGCATTAGCTTATAGCTCCCCCGTAAAGGGATTATTCTATAATACTTCCTACTACTAATAGTTATTCTGCGTTATTTATTAAGGCTATGGAATAGTTATAATAATATCGACGACCACCTTATTTAGATATATATCCGTATTAACTAGTACTGCTTTATAATCTAGCACCAACCTATAAGATGAATCTTCTTAACGGTTCTCTGCGAATTTAATATCCCTAAGACGAAGAACGCGATCCAGTTCGGGTGCCTAAATACTATAGATATAGCTATATATAGAGTTATATCTAACTAGTTTCCCTTTCTAGGCTCTCGGTGCTATCTTATTAGCTTCAGGAGACTTAAAACTACCCTTTTTATAGATGTAAGCTATACAGCCATAGGTTCTAAGATATTAGATATAGGGCTTCTATTAATCTTTTAGGCAGTTAAGAGCTCTGGTAAGCTTTTCGTGAGGGCTTAGCCCTAGAAGAACTCCCCTATCCAAGGGCAGAAGATTTAATATCTCCGCCGAGGTCTTAAGGGTATATGCCTAGATCTATTCTGGCAGTTTACTATTAATTATAAGGGTACGGGTTATTTCTATAAGGACCCCGCCAGCCCTCTCTCCTTTACCGTTTTAAGCTAGGGTGTAGGCTGCTATAAAGAGGAGTATAATACCGTCTTTCTGTAGTTTATTATACAGCTCCTTCTTATTAAATTCTCCGCCGTTATCGCTAAGGAATCCTCTAATCTAGAGCCCTGTTTAACGTTCCAATATAGCCTTAAAAGCCTTGATTTCGGTGGCTACTATCTTACCCTTCTTATCTCTTAACCATCGGAGATAGTAGTACCCTAAGTGCTGTTTAACCTAGTGGATAATATACTTATATTCTTTATAGGCGGTAGGCTTAACTTTAATAAGGTCTATATCAAAGTCTCCAGATGTTAAAGGTACGGCAGGTCTAATCCTAGAGGGCTACTCTTTTAACTTAGTAAGGTAATAGGCTTTATAGTAGAATACCCCTACTTAGGTGGTATCGAATTGGATACCCATAGCTTTACAAGCCTTAATAATCTTATATTTACTAATATATCCGAGTCTTTTATGCCAACCGTTAAAGTCGGCTTTAAGATACTTTATCGTGATAGCCGCGCAGGCTAGGGTATTAGTTATATTATACCCACCTTCTACTAGTTTATCCACTTAGACTATAGCGATATCTCTCCGCTAGTTAATCTTCGTAAGTTATCGACCTATTACCTTATAGAAAAGGGTTTATTATTTATCACTATAGCTAATCCCTTAGTTACGTAGGTATCCTAAAGATAATAGGTTTACTAGGGTATTTAGATAGTACCACACCTAGTTAATAGTCTAATCGTGGACGTTATCTTCCGGGTCTTTAGTTTTAAAGAAGATAGACCCTATACTTAGTGGTTATAAGGTATTACCGTCCATAACCTTTATAATAGGTAGATTATCCCTCGGGGTATAGTCCCTAAACTACTTAAGGTCGTTAAAGGTACTGACTTAATATCCAGAGTCCTAGACGACTTCGTCAGAGAGCACTACGGATATAACTACGCTTACTAGGAGAGCTCTATACAGTGACTATTAATTAAAGGCGGAACCTCTAGACTTAACCTTAACGCCTCTAGTATCTTTAGGATCCTTGGACCCGGCTTCCGTTATAGAGGGTTTATCGTCTCTTTTAAACTTAGGGATCTTCCCTATCTTCTTCCATTCGTTATACTTCTTCTAGAAGATATATCGTACCCTATCTAATACCTTATTAGGATATACTACGAAGCACTTACTTATCTAATAGTGGCTCTTATAGATTTTATATAGAGGGAGATCGTTACTCTTCTTATTATTATTAGACTAGTTAGTAGACTATAAGGGTTAGGACTTAACGACCGTATTAATAGAGGATATCTTAAAATCCTTAGCTCTAGCCTTTAGTTAAAGATCGTCGATAAGGTTCCGCTAGTTAACGGTCTTCTTACTAAGGTGACGTTCTGCGAGGGCTAGGTATTTACCTGTAATGACTATAATGACTATATAGACGTCCTTCTTATTGTTAGCTAAGCTAATCTGGTTATCTAACTACTTCTTAATAGCGTATATCCTTTATAGATACTAGGAGGTTAACTTAAAGTCTTCCACCTTTATAGTATTCCATTCTTTAATAAGCGATTTAGTTACTACTTCTAATACTCGTGGAATTATCTCTTTAACTGCTTAAAGTAGTTAGTAAGGATCTATATTATCTCTATTCCACCTAAAATCTCCCAGGCGAAGTTTAACGGGCTTAACTATAGTTAGCAGTACGCTATACACTATTACTTACTTTTAATTCGTGGCTTTACTGTGAAAGTGACCTTAAGGATAGTTAAAAATAGTCAGCAGATCGTGGCTAGCTAGTTATGCCTTCACCTTATACTCCTAATCCTTATAATTGGAGTCATCTTTAAGAACAGGAAACTTGATCTGCGTAGGCTATATCCTGAAGCTGTTCATTAGACTATTAACAAAGTCCTGCGGATTAACCGCCTGCTACTATTACTATTAGGGAGGATTATCCTTTTCTGGTATAGGGGGGTTAGTAAAGGTGGTTCGTCAACCTATCTCGGGAGCACCGAAGAGAGGGCTAAACGACTGCCTAAGGGTATCTCTAACGTTATCGGGGATCTATTATTAATTATTTCTAAGGGCATAGATAAGATTTCCTCATTAATCCAGGCCACTTTTTATATCTTTTTCGCTTATAACTCCTTTTCCTTTTGATTATTAAGCTAACTTAGCCTTAATCTTATCTTAAAGGTTAGTCTTATCGTAATAAGTGTCTTCCTCGTAAACTGTCTCGAGGGGTTCTTAGGGTTAAGGGGCTTATACCCTTAAAGGGCCTGTCTGTGTTTCCTTCGCTATAAGGCATACTGCCGTCAAAGGTATTAGCTTATTAATTAGTGGCCGAGGCCGAAATAAATGGATTTTAATATCCGATAATAGAGAGGACTATATAAATTAATATAATTAATCCTCGCGATTAACGATTAATGGAATTAACCCTGCGGATAATAAGGGCTTATAACCTATAATACTAAAATGGATATATTATATATATATAAGGAAGCTATCTATAGTAGGTTCCTCGGCTAAAAGCCTTAAGCTTTAGCTACCTGAATACAGCGACCTGATTGGTCGGCCGTGAAGCACGGACCACCGCCGCAATATATTATGCTTGGCGGGCCCTACCGTTTTACTAGCAAAATAGTATTCCTTACTGGCATTTTAGATAGGCCCCGTGAAAATTACCCACTTCCCCACACAGGCTAAATCGATCGTAAATTACGTTTTTCGATAACCGTCCACCTCCCACAGCCTTCATTACGATAAGGATTTTCTACTTGATATTGATGGTTGACTACCTTGTAAAATTCCCTCATTTCATTGGTTGTTTTAAAATAAGGTAGGGTCAGTGGAGTGCCAAGTCCTTAGTGCCATTCCCGAAGTTGTTGAGTCTTTAGGGTACACACAATTATTTTAATCAGTCAACGATTCAACCCTTTAATTTTGACACATTTCGACCGTGACTGTTACGCTGTATCTGACAGATACTGCTTTCCACGAAACGGCCGTCTGGCATCGCCTTCATTGAACTCGTCCCGCAGGTTGGTCCTCTAATCATTCGTTCAACCATAATCACACGGCTGGCATGGCCAGTCACCTGCTGCAATGCCCCTCAACACCCGGCAAGGTCCAGTCCAGGTACGCCTCCTTGGCTCGAAAAGTGCATATCAAACGCAAAAGCTGATGTAACTGTGGTGATGCAAAGCCCATTGATGTGATCGAGCTTTGTCATCGGATTGAACTACAGAAATACGAACTAATCGTGCAAGAGGAAGAAGCTCGAAGGCTAAGAGTCCAAGTCCTTCTGCTGCAGCACGATGTCGAAGCTCTAAGCCGACATCTTCAACAGAAAGATGCGCACATTCGACAGTTGTGCTGCCAAAATCAGCAGTTGAACGCAACCCTGCAGTCAGCCAATGACGCCTCCACAAAACCACAGAGAGAGCTCGGAATACAGCTGAGAGAAAATGAACGTCTTAAGGTTGTCTCATTAGCCCGATTTCGCAGTTTATTGTCAACATAATGGTTAATGATATTGCCAGGCCGAGCTTGGGTCCCTAAAAGGGTTGACACGAGAGTCCGTAAAAGTCCAGGAGCAGCTTGCACTCTCACGGGAAGTCAACGCGATGAAGCTCGAGAAGTATCACCTCCTGTCTCAGTTAGCCGATCAGCAGGACATTGCGTCGGATAAAGCATCACTAGAGCGTCGGTTAAAGTCAACGGAGGCAGCACTGGAAGAAGAGCAACGACTGCTGAGGCGACGCATTTTGAAAGATCAACGGGGTGATAAGATTATAGAAGAGCGGCTAAGGCAGCAGCCAGCGCAATTCGAAAGAGACGTGGCGGCAGGAGATTTGGAAAAGGAAAGATCGCGGGACTCTGTGGGTTTGACACAAGAAGAGCTTGAATCCGAAGAACTTTCCATTGCAGACGGATTACAACGGAGTATTCAAACACCTGCGACACAACTGGCGTTGGGAAAGCCTGAAGAGAATCGCGTCCACGAAAAGACAAAGGGTTCTATGCCACGGGTCGAAGCAAACGAGGGCATGCTGAAGCAAGGGCTGGGTGCTGTGGTGTCAAAGCTCCAAGCTACAGATGTTGGGCTCAAAGGCTATCAGACCGCACGGGCGGGCTCCACATCGCAGGCATCTCGAGCAACTCTGGGCTCGACACTTAGGAGGGTTGGCATGGCCTCCCAAGCAGCCAGTGGACGACATCCTGACCAGGTTACCGACAAACTGGTCGAAGTTCCTGAGGAAGCGGGCCTGAAAGGTCGGAGGCATTTTAAGAAGCCTCGGAACGATCACAGTTTGATAGGCGAGAAATCGAATTTCTCTGTGACCCCTTTCTTGGTCCGTACGAAGACGTTTGACGTGGACGCCATGTTGGCAGACGAAGGCCATAAGCAAATTGGAGTTGATGAGCTGTGCACTTGGGATGCCCGAATCTCCGAGTCTGGCGATCAACCTCAGAGTATCAATCAGCGGTCTGATAATGCGAACAGCTGCACCAACAATACGCGCCAGAAGACAGGAAGACCACGAGGCAGGCCCAGAAAGGTCCTCACTGAGGCACCCCCTCACACGCAACATACCTCCTCGACGGGAAACACGACGACATGTAATCGCGACACAGCACTGCTGTCTCATGCAGCTCCGGGAACGGCGTCTGAAGCTCTGGAATCCAGCGAATCATCGATTCTGCCCAGGGCAACCAGACCGGAATCAAGAAAGAAACGTAAACTGGCTGGTGGTACTTCTAAGACAATTTTCGACGACCCTGATGAGGATCTTCACGTCTTGGACATGAAGCTTCTGCGGCCCGCCATGGTTCAAGTCGGGCCAGCCAACCCATTGGGTAAGGCCACCTCGGATGTGCAACGTAGTTCCTTCTCCAGAGGCAGCTTTTCACCACTCAAGAAGGATCACAGAGGTGCCCATGCTAGCTTTCTTCCTTGATTAAATCTGAAATGGCCATAGTCATATACGTGAACGAGTATGTTTGTGCATATATACTTGGGCATTCAGGCACCGGAACCTGTCAGATACAGCGTAACCGTAATAGTGAAACCGGGTTAAAATTAAAGGGTTGAATCGTTGATTAATTAAGCTAATTATGTATAATTGTTAGAATATAAATAGAGGTACGGAATTATATATGTATTTATCTAAGCAAGGTTCGTAGTATTAAATATAGTATAACCGTAAAGAGTAAGTACGATAAGAATAGTTAGATTAGGGTATTCTAAATTAATTATATTATTATTATTAGTATTATTATATAGCCTACTCCGCTATCCTATCTAATTTATAAGAGCCTATATTAAACAGGCCGTAGGATTAACGGTTACGTAACGGATACGGATTTAACTAAAGGATTATAACCTTAGTAATCCGAGTAGACAAGTGCAGAATCTTGACTATAGAAATTATAGTAGCAGGAGTTCCCTAACGGTCGAGGATTTTTAGACAGTTACAGACAAAGATCTACAGATTTACAAGCCTTAATTAAATTAACAGATCAGCTGCCCTATTACTATTCTACGTTATTATTTACGGTTATGCTATATCTGATAATTAAGGGTCTTACTTACTATCAACGATTTATCTCTTTTACCTATTGAACTACCGATTAAGAGCTATCCTAGCCGAGCCGGTATAGCGAATCTTTTACAGCTTAAAGGAGCTAACCGACTATTAAGATCACTATTCTGCAAAATCTCCAAGGTCAATACAATATAAAATTATACTCAAAGCTACTAGACCTTAACCATAGTTTACGTTATTAACGATCGCGTCCTACACGGATTCCAAGGAACCACTTAATTAGTCCTAGATCCCTGATTTAGAAGCTTGTCTAAATCTATTTTACTAGGTTATAAGCTGCAGATTTATATTCCTTACGGTAGATTAGGATAATATCGTTGACGTAGAAGAAAGTAATCAGGACCATATTCTTAAAGACCTAATCGTCTTTGGTTAATTACTTTAAACCGCACTTACCTAGTACGGAAGAAAGCTATTAGTGCTATAGCTTTAAGGAACGCCGTAGGCTATATAACGCCTATCGTAGCCGTTAAATCCCTTTACGTTATTTAGGGATTTATATAGATTACTTTAAAATATCCTCGAGATAATTATCGGCTTTAAGGCCCATAGCTAACTAAAGTAACTACTAACCAGAAGGGTCCTTAATATAGATCTATTTATTAAGCAGGGTGTTAGTGAATACATTAACGGCGTTAAGTTACCGAGTCTTAAGATTAAAGTAAGCTATAATGCCTATCAGGGACCTAAAGGTCCTTCCAGCAAGGGTAGAGGCGTAGGCGTGGGGGATAGCGTAGGTGGTAGACACGCCTAGTGGCCGCGCAAGGCCATGGGTTCGAATCCCACTCCCCTTCATCGTGCGCGATTTCTTTCGCGCGCGACCTACCCGGAGCTCCTGTATATTATAGGGGTCCCCGTATATCGGGGAGATATTTATCAGCTTACGCGCTAATAAGTAGAACCACTATTACGGGTTAACCCCGATATAAGGATCCGGCTATACTCCGGATCTTCCTGACTACGCGCTTAGTTAACAGACCTATATCGCTAAGTTATCGCTACCTTATAGCTAGCCTAGCGCTATAGACTTTTCTCATTTTTCCTTTTTCCCTCCTTAATTCTAGATCATCTATTATTACGACCTTACTTAGTGCCACGACTTATAACTAGTCGTTTATATATCTAGAACTTAGCGATACCTATATGTTACGCTAGCGATAGATCAGGATCCTAACGCTACTACCTAATAACCTATTAGAATTAAATAGGTCGTAGAGTAGATAAACTAACGATTCGAAGAAAATAACTAAGCCCTAAACGTAAGGCTAGGCCCTCTCTATAAATAATATACCGATATTAACTTAAGGCTCGCCCTGATATAAGAATATTACTCGGAAATACGCTAGTTTATAGACCGATAACGCGCGAGAGAAAAAGCTAATAAGCGATAACGCCTATTAGTCGAATAGCTTATAACCCGGCTCCTAGGATCGCCTACTCTGTAGAACCTAACGCCGCTTAACTTAAGTATTCCGGCTCCCTTATAGACCCCGATAATCTTTACGCTAGTAGAATCTACCCTATTACCGGTTTTATCGTTAGTGTTATAGCCGATAATAATAGCGGCCGCCCTAACCTTAATAGCGGTACCCCGTAAGACTATTAATAGCCCTATAAAGTTCTCGGGGAAGCGAGTATACTATAGCGTATAGGCCTACGCGATATAGCAGAAACTTATAATCGATAACGACCGATTCTAGAATAATATATAAGCTTAGTACACGATCTATAATTACTTAGAGCCTAAAGTATAATAAGTCGTATCGGCCTTTTATAAAAGTAATAGACCGGGTAAGCTTATAGACCCTAACGACTTTATAGCGTATCTTAATTATATTTACCTTAACACTATAGAATAATCACGAGCTACCTAAGCCTTACGTATAATTCATTAATAGTCTAATAAGTCGTTTACCGCCTTCCTACCCCGTTTTGAAAGATAGATCGCCCTTATAGGCGGTATTAAATAAAAAACTACTATATAGATCTTATTCCTTAAAGGAGCGATTACCTCGCGACTTAGGGATAAGCTTATCTCCGCCCGTATCCTTATTAACCACTATACTATATAGGTTAACGGCGTATAAGAGATTATCGGGAAACTTAAAGGTTATTAAGTTAAATAGAACTACGATAAATAAGCTTAAGACTATATAACTATAAAGAAGGATACTAATAGCAATACGAAGATAGGCGGAGTAAACCGTATTAGCGATAGGAAGGCGAAGTAAGAGACTGGGATATACTATAACTATAATAAAAAGGGGTATAGTACAGGGAATTATAAAAAGCTAAAGGAAAACTAAGATATAGTCCGGAAGGTTAAAGAGACTCGCGTGAAGGATCGCGACGAGAGCGGAGATAAGTCGACTAGCGAGGATAACTCGGAAAAAGAATAGCTTTAACGTAAAAACGGGTGTTAAAGCCGATAGTCGTAATATAGCGGGAGTAAGAGGCGTTTAAAGTACGTACTAATAGTACCCCGGTCCTTATAGTAGCTAGAATAAATAAACGGCGTATCCTCGCCCTTATTAATACTAGTTATAACTACTATACCGTTATAAGCGAATAGTTTACCTAAAAACTCTAATTACCGGTAATCGATAAGACGAATCGACTACTAAATACCTTCTTAGAAGCTACCGGGACTATTAGTAGCGCGGGGATCGCTATCTATAAGCTTAAGATTAGCGGCTACCCGTAAAGGATATTTGTATATATAGTACCTGGGCTTAATTAAGACGTATTCCTCGGGAAGCCTTAGATAGAATAAAACAACGTAATATACTACGCTAAGGATAAACGGCTTTACGACGGAGTAGCCGGATTAAATATACGATTTTATTATAAAAAGGAACCTACTAGAGTATAAGCTATCCGCGACGCTTATTTAGTTACTAGATCCGTGTTCGCGGGTATTATCCGATAATTATAATGGAAAGGCGAAGAAGTCTTAGTTTAGGGGGTAAGCTTAAGGGATATCGAAAAAGCGCTATATAAGAAGTAATTAATAGACCCGAAGGACTTTATACCTAAAAAGCTACTACGAGAATTTAGCGACTTATTAGTATCCTATAAGGCTAACTAATTACCGTTATACCGATTAGGAGTTAACTATACGGTAAACCTTATACCCGGAAGCGACGGTAAAGAACTATCGCTCCTTTAAAGGCCGCTCTATAATATATCGAGGGAAGAACTCCTAGTATTACGGAAAACACTTATTAACCTAATAGATAAGGGATTTATCCGTGCTAGTAGTTTAGAGGCCGCGGCTCCTATTCTTTTTATAAGGAAGCTAGGCGGAGGGCTTTATTTTTATTATAACTATTAAGCTTTTAAACGCGATTACTAAGCGATACTATTATTTACTCCCTTTAATCGCCGAGATACTATAGAACCTAAGCTAAGCGAAATAGTTTATAAAGCTTAACGTAGTCGCTGCCTTTTATAAGATTAGGATAGCCTTAGGATACGAATATAAAACTATATTCCGAACTCGGTTTAGGCTTTTTAAATACCTTATCTACCCGTTTAATCTAAGTAAAGCCCCCGCGACTTTCTAGCGATATATTAATAAGATATTATAGCGCTTCCTACACGACTTTATTACCGCTTATATTGATAATATTCTAGTCTACTCTAATAGGAGTTAGGCCGATTATAAGGCGAAGGTAAAGTAGGTACTCCGCGCGCTTACGGATATAGGCCTAAACCTAAACCCGTAAAAGTACGAATTTAGCGTGAAGATAGTAAAATACCTAGGACTTATAGTTATTACGGGAAAGGGCGTGTCTTATAACCTAAAGACATTATAAGCTATCCGTGAGTAGGAAGCGCCTATAATAGTTAAGGGCGTGTGAAGCTTCTTAGGGTCTACGAATTATTCCTAGATCTTTATTAAGGACTTTTCGGGGATGTCTGCCCCGTTAATAGTACTTACTAAGAAAGACTACGCCTTTTAATAGGGTCCTAAGGAAGAAACGGCCTTTCGCGAGCTAAAGGCGAGGTTTTAAGAAGGACTAATACTATAATAGTAGGACTTAGTAAATAAGATATTTATCGAAACGGACTACTCAGGGTTTACCCTCGGGGGTAGCCTAATATAAGAAAACGCGGACGGAAATCGCTATATAGTCGTATACTACTCTTAGAAACTTAATAGGGTAGAATATAACTACTTAATCTATAATATGGAACTATTAACGATTATAAGTTATCTAGCGATATAGCGGGCTAAGCTTATTAGCTATAGGTAGTTTATAGTCCTCTCCGTTCATAAAGCCCTTAAGTACTTTATAATAAAGCGAACGCTTATTAAGCGATAAAGCTAATAGGCCGGCGAGCTTATATAATTCGACTTTATACTCGAGTATCGGAAGGGAAAGGATAACACGATAGCGGACGCCCTCTTATATTAATAGTAAAATAAGCCTTAAGATATAATAAATAAATAAGAGTAATCTTATTATATTTAATTAATTCCCGAGACTATAATTCTACCTAGCGTTTACTATATTAATAGGGGTTAAACGATCTTTAA